TTCATTTGACTGCTAAGCCTACGGACTACTTTTATTTCGAGTTCGAGCAAGCACTCACTCGACCACTATGCCTACAGGCTACATTACTTCGAGTTTGAATTATTCACTCGACTACTAAGCCTACGGGCTACTTTCATTTCGAGTTCGAGCAAGCACTCACTCGACCATTACACCTACGGGCTATATTACATCGAGTTCAAATCATTCACTCGACTACTAAGCTTTTATTTCGAGTTCGAGCAAGCACTCACTCGACCATTATGTCTACATGCTACATTACTTCGAGTTCGAATCATTCACTCGACTACTAAGCCTACAAGCTACTTTTATTTCGAGTTTGAGCAAGCACTCACTCGACCATTACGCCTACGGTCTATATTACATCAAGTTCGAATCATTCACTCGACTACTAAGCCCACGAGCTATTTTTATTTCGAGTTCGAGCAAGCACTCAATCAACTATTACACCTACGGGCTATATTACTTCGAGTTCGAATCACTCACTCAACTAATAATCCTAAGGGCTACATCACTTCAAGTTCAAACAATCACTCAACTAGACTACTAAGCCTATGTGCTACCTTATTTCAAGTTTGAGTAAGTACTCACTCGGTTATAAAGGCTACGAAGTCCAAATTCGATCAAATTGCCTAAATCCTTATGAAAACATTCATAAGGAACGAATAAAATCTTCACAAGGCAGGAAACAAAATAGAAGCAAGTTGGTAAAAGAAAAAGATATTTATATATATACAAGATTGTTTACATGATTGATTACAACATAGAAACTAAGGGCTAAGTTTCTTGGTTATCTCTGGGAGCGGTCTCTTCTCCACCAGGCCCCCCCAGTTCTCGGACCCGCTCTTACTCCCATCATCATTATCATCATTATCATTATCGTCATTATCGGAAGCCAATGCTTCATCATCAGCTTCGAGTTCTTTAGCCCTTTTAATCTCTTCAGCGAGATCGAAACCTCGAGCATGGATCTCCTCGAGGGTCTCCCTCTGAGATCGACACTTAGCAAATTCAACGACCCAATGTGCTCGAGTATCGGCGGTCTCGGCTGCCTCTCTTGCTTGGACCTGGGCAGCTTCAGCATCGGCCTGATAGACGGCTACGAGTGCATCCGCATCGGCCTTTTCCTTTTCAGTGTTAGATTCGGCCTTGGCAAGTTCAGAGGCCAAGCGAGCCTCGAGATTCTCTATTCTTCTTGCTTGAACCGAGCTTTTCTCCTTCATACTTTGAAGTTGGTTTTCGGTCACTGATAATTGGGCTCAAGCAGCTTCTTTCTCTGCAGTAAAGCGATCCATACCTTCTTTCCACTTCAAGGATTCCGCTTTTATCACATCTACCTCCTCATTGAGTTTTCTGATCATCTCAATTTTCTGCTGCAACTGTGAGACCGAAAAATTAGCCATCGTTCCGGTATCGAGCCCATAGGCTTTTAAAAGTATCATTACCTGCTCGGACAGATCAGTCTGATCTTGGTGAGCCTTGGCTAACTCAGATCGGAGGCCTTTTAATTCCTCTCTCCTTTGCCCTAAGAGGAGTTTAAGGGAGTTCCTCTCCTCCATAACCCGTTGAATGTTGGCCTTATATCGACGTAGCTCGGTTCGAGACCGAGAACATGCTTCTCGATGAACTGTCGCGGCCTGCAAAGAAAGAAGAAACAAAGTTAGAAAAGAAAAGCAAACATAAAGGTAATGCCAACAAAATAATTTAAGGCTTACCTGATTCAAAGCCTGCTGTACTCTGTGAAAAAGATCCGATGCCTCACTTGTACCGGTAGCGTCCTCGACACTGGTAAACAGGTCACAAAAAGGATCCTCTCCATTATGAGGACTGTCTAGTTCAAGGCCCCCCAAAGCTTGGGCTTCCCGAATCGCCCCTGCAGATAAAGCAGGGAAGGTGGGCGAGTCTTCTATTGCTACTGCCCCAAGTGAATCACTTGGAGCATTCTCTTCGGTTCGAAGAGATTCGGGGAGAGCCCCTTCAGACATATCCCCCATCCATTAGCTTCGATGGGAAGCATCTTCAATCTCCAACAACTCGGGGACTCTGCTCGAATCTTTCTCCAATATATCCTTAGTTTGAGGCGGAGCTTTATGAACCACCATCGATCCAGCTGCCTGTGGAACGTCAGTGGTCTTCTTCGTTCGGGCCGCCAGCGCGGACCCATCATTTTCTTCTTCTTCTTCTTCTTCTTCTTCTTCTTGATCCCTTAGACGCAGAACTGATTTTAAGGTCAAAGGAATAGTACTCTTGTTCGACTTACGAGCCGTCCTCTTCTTCGGTTTTGGATCTTCGGGAACGGGGGCTCTTTTCCTCTTATTATCTTTCACCGGCTTTGGGATAGAGGCCGAAGCTTCTTCCTCGACGAACGAGGGCCTAAAAATTGCATCTTTGCACACACCTAGATACGGGAAATTTTATTAAAGTGCATGGAAAGCATCTTGTTCGAACTACTAAAAAATACGAGAAAGGGGCTTACCATGATTTTTGGCCTCCCGTCGGCCCTTTGACAAGTCACGCCATGAGCGCTCGGCGTATGCGGAGGTCCAAACCGGATCCCGTACCCAATTCTTGAGATCGGGAACTGCGCCGGGCATCCAGGAAATCGCTGCATCATAAAAGGGGGATATCGGTGAGAAAAGAAATGAAAGGACGAAATAGTAAGAGATAACATCAAAACTATACTTACGCTTCATGTTCCACTCCTCGGGAAAAGACATCTTTTCAGTCGGAATCAGGTCCGAAGTCCTTACTCGAACGAACCTGTCCATCCAGCCTCGATCCATGTCCTCGTCTATGCTCGAGAATAGAGCCTTGGTAGCTCGACGTTGAAGTTTTATTAACTATCCTCGAAAAAGGCGAGGACGGTACAATCAGATGAGATGATCGAGGGTGAAAGGCATCTCCTCAATTTTGTTCACAAAGTATCAGATCAAAATAACGATCCGCCAAAAAGAAGGATGGATCTGGCCTAGGGTTATTAGATATTTACGACAAAAATCTATGATAACAGGGTCGAGGGGACCTAACGTGAAAGGGTAAGTGTACACACTTAAAAACCCTCTCACGTGAGTAGTAATATCCTCTTCGGGAGACGGTACAACCACTTCTTTGTTCCCCCAGTTACAATCTTTTTTTATCTGCTCGATATACCCCCTGGTTATCGAACAAATATATCTCGATACGGGCTCACATCGGCCAGGAACCGGTGAACCTTTATCGAGTTTGAAATAGGAGGTAAGAACACATGCCGCCGGAACGCACTCCTCACGCTGTGGATCCACCGATATTTTATCGGTGGCAGATTGGGAAGAAGAAGCTTTTTCTTTTTGGGGGACGGTTTTTGATGTCTTCACCATTTTTGGATTTAAAGAAGGTGACAAAGATTTGGTGGTTTAGAAGAAGAATTTTGCAGAAAAGAGTCACAGATCAGCGAATGAACTCAGAAGAGACGAAAAAGAACTTAAATATTTTTTGAAGATTGAAGACGTAAAAGTGATAAATGGTGGAAAGAAGGGCTATTTATAGATTGAAGCAATGACGGTTCAATATCAGCGGTGGTTGACCACCGTCTGACACACATTAAATGCCTTGGTAAGCTAAACCGACGGACAGCTATCACGGATGTCATGGTCGGGCTCGATGCAAACGTCAGCGCATATCCAATCGAGCCATTGAGAAATTATATCGTTTCTCACCACATCCTTCCCGAGAAACAATGTGACTATCTGTATACGATCGAAATAGATTTTGGCCTTCGTACGATTGATCGAGGTCGAAACATAATGGATCGAAGAAAGACTTCATAATATCGAGATGGGTTCCGAAGATGGTATGAACGAGCTTCAGATTTCAGGTATAGGTCAAACACCGAGTTCGAAGTCATTATCGAGCTCGGGTCTAAATCGAACTATGATGAGATGATTTCGAGCTTAAGGGGCAGAGGCCAACCGATACCGAGCCCAAATCATTACTTGATTCCGAGTCCACATCGAGCTCTATAAGCACTACCGACCAGCACCGAGGACGATCGATCTCGAGCTCACAAACAAGAGCCGTTGCAAACACACTAAGGGAGAGAATCTCGGCGGAAATTAGGAAAAAAATTAATTTATCATGGGTTTTCCACTATGTATTTTTAATTATATCTAAAGCAGGATCCTCCACTATAAAGAGGATGGCTACATTTCTGTAGAGGGTAGTTCTTTGGCTTACATTGTAAATTCAAGCACCATACACTCCTATATTGAAGAGTTATTCTTTTAAGATTTATAAATTGATTCATCTTGCTTAGTCCTAAAAATCATCTTCTTTCCAACCTTGTTTATTTGGTATCCATATTGGAGATTTCTATTTATCCTTATAATTTGTATTAAGTTATACCACAAATTCTTAGAACTACGTTCAAATTAAACTCTATCCGTTTTTCGGGTAAACACAATTAGAAACACGTCTTCAAGGATGTGGATTCTAATGAACCGACTTCATTGAAAAGAATTTATCATATTATGTGTTACATTGAGCTTTTATTTGCATATTGTATTAATTAGTTTTATTATATTTGTTTTTGTAAGTTGAAACTTTGTATGTTTGTAACGAATGTACTTTTCTCTGTGTAAATTTGTGTATCTATTGAGTATTGATTTGTTCTTCTGATAGCCTAACAGGTTATTAGATTGAGCTTCTTCTTTTCATAAGTGAATAGGAGGTCAATTCGTCATTTTTATTTATTGTTTGTTTATTGGTCTAATTATAAAGAGTTTGTTTGTCAAAGAAGAAAATATAAAAATATATTTTAAGAAATTCAATAAAATGAAGGTATGTAAATACAAGAATTAAGAATTGAAGATTTTAAAGAAAGTATGTTAGAGCTCAATAAATTGTTAAATTTATGCATTTAGTGTTTGCACGATTGAACTACTTAGCGTACCTAGTAATCCAATGTTTTATATTCATTTTCAAGTGTTTTAAAACTCTTGGCACAAAATAACGTCATTTTGCTACAATTAACAAAACACAGGGTCTGGGTAGAGGGCCGCCCAAGGGGTAAAAATGCTTATATACATGAATTATTTAAACGTTTGTTGTGCCACTATTTTCACGCTTGTACTAAATTCGGCGTATGTCACTAATATACAATGAAAAAAGTAACATAATAATGCACGTCCAGAAAGGAGAATGCGTTAAAACCTTGAGCATTTGTTTGCTGAGATCAAATGACTAAGCAGATACCATATTCTTCTCTTTTTTGCAGTACTGTTCTTGTTGCAATCTTAATTGCATAATGCTGCATTTTAAACTCCTTTCTTGACTCTGCCAATACAAAACAGACAAGATTTACAAAGAAAACTCAAATGCTAATCTTATCAAATAAAGCATCTGAATAAATTAAGAAATTTTGTGTATTGCAAAAAATGCCCAATTTGTATAATCAATAAAGCAAAGAAAAAAAAATTTAACCTCAAGTGCAGAAATATTTTTGAAAAGCTCCAAGAATTCTTCTAATAGCAACTTCTCTTGTACAGCTACCTCTGCCATTTCCTTGAGTACTTCAGCAATTTTCTCAGCCTGAACAAAAATTTAATTTACAACTCATTTTCTACTGAAACTATCTATACTATTAGAAACAATATAAGCAATGCAAGAATTTACAAAGTCGAAATCTTACTCCTGATGAGAAAGTGGATAATATCTTCTCGATCGATGAAGATACATCTGAGGCATGTTGAAGAGTAATAATAGCCGATTGTGGTTCCACCTGCAGGATTAACCTTGTCAGCTAAATGCTCTGTTTTTGCAACAGCTCAGTCCACTAGTGATATTATCCGCTTTGGGCCTAAGCATGCACGGCTTTAAAACGCGTCACTAGGGTCTAAGGCTTGTTTACTTATATACTCAACATCTCTCACGTGTTTTGGCGATGAGAGATTCGCCTGAGGTGTCATATACACCTCCTTAGGGCGTACGCGGAGTGGTTCTGATACTATATTTAACAACCCAGTTCACTAATGATATTATATGCTTTGGGTGGAGATCGACACGATTCGTCTGAGATGTCACATAGACCTCCTTAGGGTCTTAGCGTACGCGGAGTGGTTCTGATACCATATTTAACAGCCTAGTCCACTAGTGATATTATTCGCTTTGGGCCGAGGCCAACACGACTTTAAAATGCGTCATTAGGATCTAAGGCGTATTTACTTATATAGCCGGTATCTCTCCCGTGTTTTATCGATATGAGATTCGCATGGGGTGCATATTTCATGGTTCCACCTGTAGGATTAATCTTGTCAGCTAAATGCTCTGTTTTTGTAATAGCCCAGTCCACTAGTATATTATCTGCTTTGGGCATAAGCATGCATGGCTGTAAAACGCGTCACTAGAGTCAAAGGTTTGTTTACTTATATACCCAGCATATCTCACGTGCTTTGTTGATGTGAGATTCGACTGGGTGTCACATACACCCCTTAGGGACTCATCGTACGCGGAGTGATTCTGATACCATATTTAACAGCTTTGTCCACTAGTGATATTATTCGCTTTGGGCCGAGGCCAGCACGACTTTAAAATGCGTCATTAGGATCTAATGCGTATTTACTTATATAGCCGGTATCTCTCCTGTGTTTTATCGATATGAGATTCGCATGGGATGCATATTTCATGGTAGAGCAAATAGACCAAGTGAATAAAATGAGTTATTTGAATTGACCTACCGTTGCTCCTTCAATAAGAGGTACCCTACAAACTGCAGACTGTAAACCGTCTATGGATTTTGACACTGATGAAGAGTGTTGCCTTTCCATAGAATCCCATGCTTCTAGTAACTTAATCTGTACAATCATTCATATATGGCCAAAAAATATTACCTAAACACAATTGTAATGGTTTTGGTTTTTGGTAAATCATGTCATTTTACCAAATTAATTAAGGGTAATAAGTTCTTACTTGAGCATGAAGAATAAAACTCAATTTCATGTCCAGTTTTTGCCTCTGTAGCTGCAACTTCTTTTGTACCACAGATTGTCTCAATTTTATTAGACCACCCCAAGCATATACTAAGTTTGCCTGAGAAAACCAAATAACTCCATCAGCTGATTTTATAACTAAGGCCTAGTACTCATCACAACATTTTAAACTAAAAAAAGACTACACAAACCTCAGCCTGTTTACTTATATTTTGATTGACAATATCAGCTTTAGCCTTTACATATCTCCACTGCATCAATCTATTATGAAGCATCCTTAGCTGATGAACGCTCTCGGCCATGCCTGGCCGAAGAGGAGATGCTGCAACAGAAGAAAATTTCTTACCTTTGAACAATTCAAGCCCCATACTAAGAAAATTCCCGACTTTTTTCCCCCTAGAAGGACTCGTCGGAGGTTTCATATTTAACATAAATGTCCCTTTGTTTTCTATCAACATAGGAGGAGAGTTTGGCCTTCCAGGAGACAGAGTCCACTTAGAAGTTTTACTGTTAAGTGAACCAATCCTTTGAATTGGATTCTTGAATTTGAGTCCTAATTTTGGAGAACTGTCTGATGAAACTGGCTTCTGAACACTAGAATCTGCACTCCATCTTCGCGACCATTTTGATGATGAATCTTGCATATACTTTGAAGGAACTTCAATTCCAGCTTTTCTTGAACTCATTGTTGGTGCCATATAAGATGGTGCTAAGTTTCTCCGAATAACAGGAGAATCCAAGCTGTTGTTTGAATCAATGTCACTATATTCAGATTCATGTTCCAAGTCTGATAAAATATCTGATCTAATTCGTGCAGAATTAGATCTTCGTCGAAGGGAGTTCTCATCGACAGAAAGTCTTCCCGGGACAATATGATCACTATAATCTTCTAATAAATTTGAAGACTTTGAAGAAGTTGAAAATCTCCCTGGAAATTTGAGTTTTCCAGTGTACCTCATTGATCCACCAAAAAATGATTTTCTTTTTTCTTTTGTGCTTTCTTTTTCATTCTCAAATCTACTAAACTCCGTGCAACTCTTTTGCTTACTAAGAAACATTGGAGTTTTGCAATTTTTGCGCTCTTCAATGTCTTTTAGCCTCTCATTTCCTAAGTGATTTCCAAAAGTGTCGATTGTTGAACTTGAAGATGGCCAAAGTTTTCCCATTAATCCTGAATTCTCAAGGCTTTTATGCTTTCTAGAATCAGTGGATGATCTTGGTTTTGGCACTATGTTTTGTGGAGACTGATTCTCAGTATCAAGAATTGAGTGATTTGAAGTGTGGGAGAGATATCTTGAACTTATTTTTCTTGAATTTGGCTTTTTTAGCGTCAAAGAATGATCAAAAACCATGTTTTCACAGTCGTTCTCCTTCATAGTAACAACAAAATTAACAAGCAAACAACACAATAGAGTCCAGAGATAAAAGTTTTGGCTTTTGGATTTTAGATTTTTGGTTTGTTACAGAAATGGATGAGACTAAAAACAAACACTTGAAATGTGGCGGCAATATAGATGCTAAGCCGGCATATTTACCGGATTTCTGGTGAATGGATTTATGAATTTACGTAAACAGCCTTATATGGAGAGATTTTGGTAAGAATTAAAAAGGGTAGTTTTGGGTTTTGATGAGTGGAAGTAAGTTTTGAATGTTCTCAAAGGGAGTTGACTTGGATAGAGACGTTAGAAAAACAAAAGACATCAACAAAGATAATGTTGGGTTTGGAGAAATTAGCAACTAATCTTTATCAAAATGGAGTGTCGTTTGAGGATTCTGTTTGTTTAGCTTTGCCGGCATTCCTAGTATTAGCGTTGCTTTGGGATAGAAAGCTGAAGAGGTGCCACTTGGTGCCTCTTTAATTTTGGATTTAATTTATCCTCTGTAAATTTCTTTTTTCCTTTTTTAACTATTCAGTGTTTTTCAAAGGTGACCTGTGTAAAAAATAATTGTAAGCTTCTATTTTTGCAAGAAATAATATTTGTGAGTAGTAATTTTAAAATTTTCTATTCCCAAAATACCAATAAATAAATCAATAACCCTTTCATAATTTGTGTAAAGTGTTAGTTAGCTTAATATGATTGTGAATTCGTGATTACGTCTCTCCATCAAGGGGCAAGTAAGTCAGTTTGGATTCAGGTATCCTCAGTTTCATTATATTACTACCTCTAAAATGAGGAAAAATGGGTCCTTCTCATAATATTTTAATCTTCCTACAATTTCTCCATATTGGTTGTAACTTGTGTTATGGATAACTTTAGTTACGTAGAGACAAACTTAAATATATCTTCTTCCATACTTCAAAGTTAACCCCCAACCCAAGGAAACATGTACTTGACGCATAAACTTAAAATTGCTGTAAAAATTCATAAATATTAAAATTTGAATTCCGCCTATGTGATCATTATTGATTATTATGATTTGATGTAAATATAATCTGATTGGTATAAGTAAGTACTTTCACCAATTGGGAATCCTCTGTATAAATCAAAATACTCCAATATCCTTCTCCCATTTCTTTTTTTTTTTTTTTTTTTTTTTTTTTTAAA